TTTTAATATTGCGTGGATTAATGGCAAAATCGTCTCATAGTATTGTCGGTCCATCAAAGTAGTAGCAGAAGTCCTTGGACTCTAAATCTTATCTACCAAGGCTCCTTTCTGGAGTTTTTATATTACATTCGATTTTGGGGGCCCGGGTTCCACCATTTACCTTTGAGCGTGCAAAGATAGCTTTTGCACACACGTGCGCAAACAAATCACCTATTGTATGGGAGATGTGTCCAATATATACATATATATCGCTGCTCATGTGGATGTTTTCTTAAAAATTGATTTCTCGAGTGGAGCAATAAATTTGCGCTGACGTTAAAAGTTAGCATGTTGTAAATATTGAACCCGTCTGGGCGATGAGAAGATGACGCCACCCAATGCACTAGGTTACAGCTTCACGTGAAGTGCAGAGAAGCCTCTCAAATCTCTGCACGCACCTCCAGCATCCACGTGCCCAACGAAAACGTTCGGCAGAACCATCTGAGGAGATGGGAGGGGACGCATGGTATAGTCTTCATAAATAAGACGGCTTGTTGTTTCAAAGGTCTGCCAATGACACAAGCAAACGAATTCTGAAAATGCATAACTTCAAAGTGCGCAATGAAAGCCACATTGCTGTTTAAAGGAACTTTTTTTTTTCATATTTCTGTGGTATGCAAGAAGTCCAATCAGTCCCCGTGCACGGAGTGATTACGGCTATTTTAATTATCTACAAAGAGTGAAATCCCTCACGCGTCGCACCCACTGTGAAAAATCAGTACCAGCCATTTCAGAGCAATTTCCAACTGCAATCTCAATTAACCCTCTAAATACTTCCTCGTCTAATTAAATCAACTGAAACGCTATTGTTTATAAGCTCTTTTCGGGCCCATATCTGTTGCCCCATCAACCGTCTGTCATTATGAAGCAAAATTACATCGAAAGGAAATTATGTTTAGCCCTCACTATGTTGTAACCAATTTATAGCCGTTTTTTTCCACGTGATGTAACAGGATCGGCGACTCGATCTAATTGGTTATCAAGGAAACTATCTTGTGATCAATTTAAGTAATTGCTATATTCCTGCAACTTGACCCTGGCAATAGTTTGGGACTGGAGCCTGCTTTTCCTCAACCTTCATTAAAAATAATATCAATTATTAAACAGCCAGTAGCCTAAATTACTTCGTTAAAAACACTTTCCGTCCAATATGACAAAAAAAAATTGACATTCTTATTCCATGAAGCGCACCTGCATTTCCAATAAAATTGCCATCGTCAAATATGGAAATGTTTGCCGAATGCCTAAAATTCTCTAAACCAGATTGATTGCTAACCGCGCAAATGGACATGTCAGTCTTTTAAAGGGTGCCTCGCAGTAAACGGGCGTTTTCAGCAAAAAAACAAAAAATCTGCACAGGTCAAGGACCGTCTCTTCTGTGGCGTTTTGTTTATCTTCTACGGCACGGCGCGTTTGTCCTGCCGCAGTAACTGACATCCTGTCAAAGGCCAGTAATTTGATGAAACGTTACGCAGACGCGCATCTGAAATAATCAGAAACACCTGATGGAGGCGGGGACGGGCGCGCGCGCGTTCCTTGCGAGCAGCGTTAACAACGTTTTGAGTTATTACCATATGATTGTCCTAAAACGCTGGATGAGGTGGCTTTGCGTCGGAGCGCCGGTATCTCCTTGTGGTGAAATCGAAATGCAGGTCATAGTTTCAAACATATGTGGATGTTATTTGTACATTTTCCACCGTGCTTTGAGCCGGAGAATACGGGCAAGACTAACTGCGTGCAGATTCATTTGCCATCCCCCCCCCCCCCCCGTTGTACGGACTATCCACTAGCATGCAAGCGTTGCGTCGTTTATTTGTGACAAAGAATTTAGAGAATGGGGCTCCGGTTTTATGATGTATAAACATGTTAGACAAAATATTTCCCTGCTACATATTCTGCAAAAACAACGGCAAAACTTTGTTTACATCTGCCAGAAACACAATTTTAAGAAGCAGCCGGGGATTTGTCAGCTGAGTTAACTAGATTTGAAACCGCGCTCTCCCAGTTAACACAGAGCATCCGCTGGTGCTGAAAGCCCTGCGCTTTGCAGACTCTCCAGCGCTCCCTTGACAACTGGCAATCAATGACATAATACCTGCACTTCATGTAGGAAGTCCGTTTCGGGGTGAAAGAATCTGCAGGGAAAGTGAACCGACTGGAAGGTTCCCCATATGTATGAGAAACAAAGAAGAAAATTAATAAAAATGAGTTACGACAGCTAGAATGCACGGGATAGAAGAGTTCCATTTTGCTGAAGATTTTTTTTTTTTTTTTAATTTAAAAACAAGATACTCTTGGCTGACATCTAAACAGTTGCATCACAGTATGAGAAAAACGAGCGGATTGGTCTCGCTATGCCCTGAATCGTCAGACGATTTAACCTTTTCGTGCTGGCTGCCCTTGGAGACAGGGACTTTGTGAACTTTGAACGTCTGCCGATCTAAAGCAAATAGGTTATCTCTAATTCTTTGGTTGTTTAGCAACTACCAGTTAACTGCCGTCTGTGTTTTAAACCACAAATGTGGGATGTTGCATTGTAACCTTATTTTGCATTTGCGAATCTTGTATATTTCCGTTATTTAATTTTTGGTTGCTTAAAACATTTGCTATGCACGCCTGTTTTCTATACGTCCATAGTAATGTAGAGCTAATCACATAATTAAATATTCTGTTTCATGAGAGAAAGGGGGAAAATTATTTATAAAAATCTCAAGATGTCCCGAGGATCTGCACAATTCAGGTTTCAGCTGTGAGGCAGAACACAAAAAAATAAAATGGACAGAGTTGGGTATGATTATGCAAGCGTTGGTCCAAGTGAAGAATTTTGGTATTCTATACGTATCAGTGTCAAAATTAAAAATACTTCAAAGGCTAAAATTAGGACGCATTCTCCACTTCTCGTATATAATTTACTACTGCCTGGATGTCAGTGAAGTAAGATTTCTACTAACAGCATTCAATTTGTTCTCGTGAAAAAAATCAAATGCAAATATATATATTTTTTGCTGATTCTTCGTTTGGCGTCGGTGTATGAAATTCAACCTCACATATAATTTTAGTTTCGTACAGCACTTGGTAAAAGCTAACTGCCCAATAGGACCGTGTCTTCTTTTTCTGGGGATTTGTGACTCTCATTATAAACGGAGTAGGATCTAGTTTCTCAGAGTCCATCACTTTGGAGATAAGTAGCGAATGGAAATTGTCCAGCATGTCAGTCTTCATCTCAATTCCCCTTGAGAAGAGCCGTACAAACTGCCCCCAAATAGGGGAAAAATGTGAAATATAAAAGAAGAAAACGGCCAGAATCTCAAATTGGAACAACGTGGTTTTGTCCCCATTACTGCGAGACACGAACCGAATTTCAAGCCGGGGAGGATGACGAGATTGTTAGCTGGTGGTTTCTGAAGGAGATGAAAAGTTTTGGCGAATGTGATTGTTTGTGAAAGAGATCATTCAGATTGAAATCCCAATGGTCGCCACGCGGGTCTCTGGTCTCTCTCCACGTAATCTGGTTTGACAAGAAAGCGGGTAAGAGAAGAGTTTTACTGCGCGCGCAGCAGATGGTGGGGGTCAGGGCCCAGCCCTCAACTTCAAACACATGGAAGTGTAAAAACAGAGTATGTTAGGGGCTAAAACAACTAACCACTGGATTAAAGGATGTCCGCTAAGTGCCCTTGAGATTCTGCAGTTTACATCTGGTAAATCTAGAAGAAAAATACAAATTACAAATCGGTATGACAAGGTACGGTTATCAGACAATTAAAAATTTCCGCATCAGACTTCTCCCTTTCTGATCAGAATTAAATTTCGACTGACTTAATAAAGGTGGTTTGGGCTACCTATTCATGATAATTTTACATGTGAAATATTCAAACTTGAGGTTTTTAAATAATATAAGGTTTAAGGGTTGGGATATAGCCTATATACCCGTTGTATTGAATGAGAATCAGAAATTACAGAAACTGAACATATTTTTCTAAATGATGCAGCAGTACTAATTTTTAGGTCGTGTGCAAACGATGCACATTTATTTACAAAAATCAAATCGCAAAATAATATTGGCTTCAGACTGGTTTTCTGAATGGGCCATGATTGCAACGACCGCAGGAGTGGTTTTCTACACCTATGCCAACTCGCAGAGATCAGAAACCAGCTTGCACCTGCATCCAATCATCGGAGTGGCAGGTGAGGGGGGGGGGGGAGGTAGTCCTTTCCGCAGAGCCGCGCTGTTTTCCAGCAGTTTCCACAACCCGCTGCATCTCCGCTGCTCTCTACAAATCAAACCGCAGCTCAAATCAAACGTCCGCGGGCAAGCTGGTATTTCTGCAGCGGAGACGGATAAATGACACGTCTGACAAGTCCCAATCACTGCACACTCAGAGTAACGCGGCGTGGCTGACACTGAGAAACGCGGCAATGCGGGTGTTAACTATAAACTTAGGAGTCTTGATTTAACTGTACCCTGTCTGGGAATATCGGAGAGGAAATTTTGGAGGTCTTTAAATCAAATGCTTGTCAGTGTGTTTACCGTCTTCCTGGCGGTTCTCTGCGCTGTTTGCAGTCGCTGTCCATCTTGCACCAAGTACTGGATAAAACTGGATATAAACTTTGCTGAGCGGCTTCTCGCACTGGGGGTACCGTGCTCTCTGCTGCAGTGCTTCCGCTTAGCGGTGGATCCCCACAGCCGAATCTATCTTGACTGGACACCTGTCTTCCCATATATGCTGCCCGACTTTATCTAAACTCCTCAACTGATCCCCACCCTAATTATCCGCAACCATTTTCTGCCATGTTTGAAAAATAAATATGCCACTTTTTGACATTGTTGTCATTTATTCTTGGGGCAGTTAGATGGTGATTATTAAGTTCTCCAATAACAGCTTATGCAGTATGGTGGATTTGCGGACAATGAAACTTTCATATCATTCTTTGGTCGCTTTACAAAATCCAGAACAGTCTGGTTTCACGAAAGTTATTTATTCTTTTATTCTTTGTTTATTCTCGAACAAGTGCTTTTCGGTGTCTAATGGTCCACTTAGCCAACATTTTGCATTTTCAGGAAAAATGACGAAAGGCGATAAACAAAACGTAAGACATGACTGCTTGCTTAGAAATTACGATTTTTTTTTTTCAAAAGCAGTGTACATGACAAATATTCCCAACAAATACTGATGAATTGTAATTGAAGATTTAATCACACTGGCTGTCCTTTTAAAAGTTCACAGTTCAGAGGAACAGCCTTAAATTACCCAAAAGTACCCCCATTGATGTGTCTAACGATTGTAAATTACCTTACCTTTTTAAGTTGTTCACTGGAATTCAGCAGGACAAAACTGTATTTCTGCATTTTTTTTATTCTGTGGTTTTTATGAATAACGGGAGTGTTACATGGTTTTAAATAAAATGAGAAATAGTAGACGTTTGTTGAAACCTACCAACCAAAATTTGAATGCCCACAAATTTATCGGACTATAATTTTGGGGCCATGTTTAATTGTAGTGGTTTTACTTTATTATCGCATGGACTGCGTATAGGTCTGCTAAAAACCTTTGGCCAAATAACGCGTTGCAATTTTTTTTTCTCGACGCTTTGTCGCATTGCGCCCCCTATTGGAGGTAATATATCATCACTGCTGGCACGCCATTTTACCCAGGCGAGAAAGAGCAGAAGAGACAGACTAGAAGACAAAAAGATTTTAAGGCTTCAGCAGAAACATTCTAATAACTGTGGTGGTCCAGAGACTACCATATACATCGAGAATGTAGGCCATAAATTTATTTTGGGGGTGAAATAAAATTAGATAAAAACGTACTGTTTAATAACAAACGCCTTAACTGGATAAGCCAGCACTGAAAATACATTGCTGTAGAATAAACAGTTTTTATTCACCTATAAACTTTCAGGCCAACCTATGAGTAATGTAATAGATGTGTACTTGATTTGATCCTCTCACCAATGGTTATTAGTAATAAGGATCTTGCCAGTTTGGAAGTGAAGGCAATTCACACGCTCCCCATGATTTTGCGCGTGTGCACGCCACAGGACCCCGAGTTCTCGAATAGGCCTTGGTGTTAAATCCACTGTGAATCACATTTTAGTTATGGATTATTTCACTTTCTCACTCTTTCGACCAATCATAAATATTGGTTATATATGACGTGGTAGCCTAATATAGTCATAATTACGTTTTTCTGTAGGCTATATTTGTACAACTTAAGGTGCATACATTTTTTAAATGGATGAACCAGTAAAAACAATAAATAATAGTAATAATAAAATAATAATAATAATAACCATTACGACAGTCCTTAGATTAACAACTTCACTATTTGTAATGATTAACGCTCGCTACAATTACAATGCATAAGCATACAATATAGCATGTAAAAGCGATTTCACAATGACCTAATAGAATTCAATTAACAACTGGTTTTAGGCAAATCAAGAATCTGACTGAACTGGAAAACATCTGTGATGCACATTTCCCGGACTTGGGCATAGGATCCGGGGGGGGGGGGGGTGTCCTGCATTTAAATTATGGAATTGTACCCACCCTAATATCAGCAACATCCTCATTCCAATTTGGATCCATATCTGGAAATGCGTTTCAAGGCAATTGGCACAGGAATTATCAATCAAATTATTTATTGTAAATATTAAGCACAATCGGAAACCAGCGAATAAAACAGCTCTGTAACAAGGACTGAGTTAATATTAAATATAAAATTGCTTTTTTTCTTAACTTTATTCACCTTGCAATGACTCATACAGCAGCGTCACAGCCTCTCTGCCGGGGCAGACTCCTCCTTAGTCCTGATGTTCATGCTCCTGCCCTGGGATGAGCCTCCGGATGCTGTCCGTCCGCAGTATCGCGTAAAGCGTAAACCCAAATATAAACGTGACTGAAAACACGAGCAGCCAATCGACGCCTTTGACGGGGACGCTGGGCAGCGGCCCCCAACGATCCTCCTCCGTCACATTCTGGCCTGGAACTATCTCGAAACCTGCAGGCGACACGTAAAGAAGGATGCGTTGAGTTTACCTGAAGGTTTAATAATCACGTTTTCCAATCTCACAAGCAGGACAGCGATTAGAACGCAAAATAATTCCAATTCAAGTCTCATATGAAACGGAAATGTCATTAACGGAAGACTGAAGGAAAATGCAATGTAATATTTATTAGTATATATAAATATCGTCTGGTAGGCTACTTAATAAAAGGAACTTGATGTGTTTCCTCGGTGGTGTATCTCTTTACAGTTGGAAATGTAATAAACGGACGGAACTAAATAAAACTTTAGACTAAAACGTTAGAGGCAAATACACACCCGTCTGGTTTGCTATAAATGCCGTTAAAGTTTCCAGGGTCCTTTCCGTCTGGTTGAACCTGGCCATCGGTTTAACCCCTTGAAACAGAAGGATGTTTGGGACAGCTACTGTTCCAAACCTCGTGGAAAGACTAAAAAAAACAGAAAGAAAAAAAACAGAAAGAAAATGGCGTGTCGCACAGAGGCTTAAGGGAGATTATTAATATCTCAAGAAAAGTAAATACCTGCTGATAAAAGCAGATTAACCAAGTGCGTGCTTTAGATATTTTTAAGAGGTAGAGATAGAGAGTATTAATGACAAGTAAGTGTATTCAGCTTCTGTGATCTGGTTATTTAAAAATAGGTTTTGATGACAGACAGGGGTCCTGCCAGATGGGTCCCTAATGAACCAACCTGCTGTGCTGAGATGCATCCAGGGCCAGAAAGCGCATGCCGGGAAAGACTCGAGGCAGTGCGTTGAAGTGGGGAGCCAGGCTAGCCGAGAACTGGCACCAGGTGGTGTAGAATAAGACCAGAGAGCATTCTGTGCTGTTAGCGTTCAGGAATTCCATCAGATCCTGTATGGGTGACACACCATACCGCAGTGACAAACTCAATCCCCCAACTTCCCCCACTCAAATCCGGCTTCACAACATAAGCCAACCCTGGTCCGCAAGAGCAAGGGAGTGTGGGGATTTTTGCCCTACTAGAGTGGCGAAATGCATGACCAGAATAATATATTACCCAGAATGCAACTCAGAAACCATTTTGCTGTTTGTATTAGTAGAGATGTTGCTGGTGGTATTAATAGAGCCCAAATACCTGCACGAAAACTGCATCCAACCAAGACTAGGGGCAGGAATCATAGATAACAGCCATTTCACGTTGGAGTACCTGTGATGCATTTAGGATCTGCACAGCCAGACTATCGTTGTCAGTGACATTTATCTTGTGACAGTTGACTTTGTGCTGCTTTGGCGCGTCTGTGGAGTTCTGTTCCTCGCTGGCCATGATGTCCACGTGGACCATCCCCAGGGTAACCGGTTCCATCTCTTCGGGGCCGTTCCCGTCTGCCAGATCCCCTGATGCTGTGGAGAATCCGGCCTGCATATCCTTGACGCTTCTGGGAATGAGGGACTCCAGTCCAGCCGGGTCGACGGACACCTCCGTGCCCAGCACGGCGTCTGCAATCTCTGCAGTCTTGAAGCTCCACTTCGGCTGCAGCTCTGGATCCTCACGTTCCACAAACTCGGGGCTGTCCTCCAAGCTGACCCCCTTGTAAACGTCCTCCAGAATTTTTAACTCCTTTGGCTCACTAACCTCTGTGACAGAAAAGAGAGAAATATTCTCAGCTACAAAAGCACGTCTTTGACTCCAAACTCAGTAGCATCGCTCCAGGTCCTGCCAACGACATGACTACGCACACCAACCTACTGCGAGATACCCAGGGTCCATATCTATCTATTAAGTAGTTACACATCTGGTAAAAATGTTTTAACCAAGTTAATTTCATTTGGGGCATTTGTAAAATAAAAACAAAGACGTTAAGTTAGCATGCAAGGCTATGTTAGTTATCTTTCAGACAGAACAAAGTACTGTACTACATACTTATTTATATAAAATAGTTGAACTTTAACCTGCAATCCAAGGAGAAAACATTTCACTTGCGTTATCAAGCCCAATCAGTATAAAAGGACACTAATCAGGAAACGTCCAATATATTGTGCAATCACCTTCATGAAAATAGCTTAACTGTATTTCATAAGGTGACCGCTGGTATTCATTATTCTCGTACTCCGTCTCGGTAGAATAGAATAGTCACGTCTCTGGGCCTCTGAGAAAGGCCATTAACAACACCCCCCCCCCCGTTCCAGGGGTAGGCGAAAAGAGAATTTTCCCACGTGGATCAATAAAGTGTCATTATTATTATTATTATTATTATTATTATTATTATTATTATTATTATTATTATTAAGTAACCTACGTATGCCGGCTGCACAGAATTCGTAAGTCATACTCATTAAAATTAGAGTAAATACAATACAGAATATACGGCAGCACTGGAACAAATTATATAACATTATTTTTGATATGTGACTGGTATTTATAGATGACTAGATTTGTAACTTTTATTACAAATACTAATCTTCTGTTGACAGCGACCTGCTTGCACGTCTGAGCTCGGTCTGTACGTATACGGTTGGTGGCTGTCTCGGCCTTCACCAAGACGGTGCATTTTTAAGCATCACCTCCGGCTATAACACAGTTTTTAATCAGTATTTATTACCTAATATTCAAATGAAAGCTGTGACTACCGCGCTGACCGTCATTGCATCAGTTAAAACCCGACCTTACACAAGAATCAATACCAGTTTTGTAGCTGTATACCTTATACAACTGCATGCATGCCATGCACACCAATTCTGCAGCAAACCCAAATATCTGTGCTATTAGATATGTCCCGAGAATATACTGGGTGGTAAATAACGTTAAACGTTAAACAGTATTTCACCGATGCTCTGGTAGTCGCCTGACATGCCATATCTTACCGGCTGCGGTCAGCACCGCTCCCTGTCTGATGGCGGACAGAGTCACATATACGGTGCACAGGACGTCCATCATTATCGATGTCAGCCGCATGGCCGCAGCCTGTTTGATTTACACAAAACGGCGACCTTAACACATCAGGAGCTCATGTCTGCCACCATCCGCACTCGCTAAAGCGGAGTGTCCGTCCGCGGCGACTGTTTCCGGGGGAAGGCTTTCAGCGCCGGGCGCAGCTTATTAACTCCTTGGGCGCCGCACGAGTCTCATCTCAGCCTATTTTACAGATGAACTCTGCAAGCACTGGTTAAACAGCATGGATATAAATCGCTGGGCGACAGTGAACGACTTCCGATTTAGTGGGAGTTATTACAGCACAGCGTCACACGGTGCACTGCAATGTGTCGAAATGTAGGCCTAGAAAACCTCATAAGCAGTTACGTCTTTTATTCGTTGTGTGCACCTTCCCTCTAGAAATGCAGGTGAAGTTGTATAAAATTTCACGTGTATCAAAAACATGTATTATAATTTAACATATTCATTTGCGGTTAATTTAAAATACTCGTTTCAGTGAGCATAATGTATTACTAACTGCATAAGTTGTTAGTGTTGGGGATAACAATAGTAATACTTTAATTTTGGGTGGTTAACCGTACGGTATTTCTTAACGATTCGCAGACCGAACCCCCACTACTTACTGGAGCATAAACTAAAGACTACGAACCCACACTAGTGGTGACTATCAATCACTGTCAATCAGGATCTGGATAAACCAATTCTCTTTGGTTACTTAATTAGTTCCAGGTTGCGGTCTGCTAGGCAGAGTTCCTGTATTACTGGCCAAAAACAAATGATGCATGTATGCGGCGTAAGTTCTAATTTTCTGGTGAGTGTAATCAATGACCTAATGTCGATCAGCAGCACAGTTGTATTAAGCAACATTTATTTATTGTATTGATCACTGGCTGGTCTTCAACACACATGGTTATTATGCATGCTAATTTAGAAGTAGGATTAACAGTATTTATGAAATAATGTTTATTATACAACACACCACACTGGACGATCATGCAGAAAAGAACTGAAAATAAAATACATTTTTTTCCTGTTTTAGATAGGTACAGTATGATCTGTGGAATTAATCTTTAATGACAATGGAACTATGAAATTTAAAACTGGTTTCTGTGGCGAGGAAAACCATATTCATAATTTTTATAAAAGGTTCAGCTGTAAGGTTTTATACTATTATAATTCCAGATCTGCAGAACGGACATGAAATTCAGCTTCTTGAAGACAAAATCAAGCCTGGTATATTATGGACAGTAGTAACAAGCCAACCTTGACACATTTATGACCAAATGACAAGCACACGATTATCTCATCATGTTCTTTCCCCTCTTTTCAATTAGGGTTGTTGGCTGCTCTGCTCATAGCCCCTTATGAGGTCATCTTGGTTCCAGATGACATCACAATTCCCTCAACGACCCTCAACCTCAACATTCAGTTTAAAGCTGAAGTCAGAGTTGTCAGAGTATTCACACTGCAATCCTCAGCCTGTCAGTCTTTTCGGTGTGTATAGAGGTCTCCGACAAAGATTCTGCCCTTTTGGCGCAAACCTTACACACACAAACAGAATTGTAATCCTCAGAGTGCTAGCATAGAAAGTGCACGTCAAACGTAAAAGTGGTAGAAGGAGCGCCGACTAACAAAGTACACACACACACACACAAAAAAAAACATCTTCAATATTCCACATTAACAAAGAAATATTCTAGTGAACGAAATAAATATAAAAGAAACATTGTATTCACTATGTCAAGAAAACGACAGAGCCCCTCTGTCATAGCAAGAAGGTACGTGGTTATGTCAATATAATGTCACATGGATATACGTGTCATAAACATGATGTCAAACAAACAGGTTTACATATAGGCACCACAAAAAGGCATTTAAGTTAGCACAGAAGTGTACGATGAGGGGGAAGAAGTAGTGGTCAATGATCTGGACTGAGTTGAGTCACTCCGTCTTCTGTTTACCACATAATTCTTGTTATTTGGAGGTGCTCAGGATTACCTGACAACATTGCACTGTTAACTCATGCCTCAACTGAAAACAGAGGACATAAAAGAGCCAAAACTGGCATACGTTTTGTTTTCTGGCTTTACAAATGTAAACGGGAAAAACATTACATTATACAGCTAAAGCATATATGCTTTATGTAAAGCAACATAGATGTGAACAGTTTTACATTGTTATATATATATATGTGTACTAGAGGTGTCACCCTACAGTCGTCAAGGGCTGGACTTCAGCAGGGTGTGGAATACACTTTAATTTGTGTCTGATTTAAACCTGACACACCAGCAAATGTTACCTGCAACTCAAAGAGTTCTATAAATCAGTTTTCAAACAATGAAAAAACTCATCCCGTAGTCCTTGACAACATAAGTCTGACCAAAATTATTTGCCCGGTTAGGTACTATGTTTTTTCACTAAAGCAATTCAGGTTATCCACCTATGCCAGTAAGGTGCCTTGAGGCGTGCAAGTCGATGACATTTATTCCACCACGACTCCCACGTCCCTAAACACAGCCTCGTGTTCACCCACAGTACTGACTTAATTTCACAAACCAGGCAAACTGGCGGAAACCTCTGAAAAGGAAACCAATGTATTTGTGAAGTTTAAGAGGCAGATTACGTCAGTTTCTTTGGTTAAGGAAAATATAGCCTATAACAAAAACAGCATGTCAAAAGAAGTATGCATGCAAAGATTTTAGGTACATCGTTTGATAAAAAATCTCGCTTCGTGATACTTTCCACGTTTAAGATTGGAAAACAGAGTCTTTTTACACAGTCATCGTTTCTACAGGCTAAACCAACAAGAGATCATGTTGTCTGAGGTGAGGCCCAACTGACCTGCAAAGCTCTCACATAGTTATAATACTAATATCAATACTTATCATTTTAACACAAAAAAATCAGGACGTGAAACAAAACACAGTAAAACCCAGACAGAAAATTCAAATATGTCACAGGACTGTCACACAGTGTCCGTTAATTCAAACAACTGACAATTAAACCTACAGCTTACGGCAGGTAAGATAACTCCACCTTAAACTTTCTGTGGTTCATAACGACATTACAATTTCGGCCCCCAACTTACGATACATGCTCAGCAAAGCTGTAGGTTAATTTCACAGAACACCGAGAAGGAGTATATTACAAAAATATCACAAAAACACTGAAATATTCCCATCCACACTAACAGGAACAATCCAACAAACTCTATCAACAGTAACTCAACTAATGACTAAAATAATCTCAGCATTGGTGACTGACAGTAAAGGTAGCCAACATTGTGATTATTTCAACTGGGCTCAAGAGATGCTCTTAGAAGCTGTGAGTATATTAATGTCTCTGTAATTAAGATCTGGTACGCAGCTTGTAAAACGGTTCAACTGGCTGATTGTCTGTCACTGAGATACAGTTTAAAAAAACAGCAGTGTGATTTGTGGAAACCTTGAATAATATTACAGGATTGTGTCTGGGCAGGGACACACTAACGAAGGCAAGTATCGTTGTTTTTTTTCTTCTTTTCTACATATTTAAGGATGGAATTTGAGAGAAAAAATATTTTTGGCAAATATCCTGGGAAAAAACATCAAATACAGTAATTATCAAAGACTCCAAAGGTAAAAACCGGCCATGTCGTGCTTGCATGTTTCCGGAAGGGGGTTTGGTCCACATTCAAGTGTAAAATTTGACTCGTCTTAATATTAAAATAACCAACTTCCATAACAAACGCATGTACATTTTGTAGCACCTTTTAGATCTGTACCGTGGCCTTTAAACCGTATAAAACTACTTACATCCATGAACTGCTCCTTAACAGGTATGACTTCCATAAACAGTCACAAGATAAAAACCTGGGTTTGGAAAAATGACGTATATAATAATTGATATTTTTGTATACAGTGATTTTAATATAAAGACATTGTACTCAATGGCATGGTCAACTGTTCTTCATTCTTCTCAGTTAGGCTGGACTCCTGACGTAAGGACACATCTACTTCTTAGTAACAACATTCCATGTATTTTTCAGGTGTAATATCTCATTTTTCTCATGCCCAATCTCTCCTTTAATTATTCATTGGTTTATTGCATAAACTTTTTTCCCACGAGTAAAATGATTAAGTATATCCGAAGACTGCTGCTATTCTGACATGTCATTTTCTGGGAATACCACATGTGACATGTATGGCCAATCAGAAAGCACGTTTGACTTCCCTACTTTAAACTGTCCTGACAGTGGCTGAACCCACTAACACCGCAGCGTCAGAATCCACCGCCGGCTGACTTTGTAAGACTTCACATGGCTGCGGAGCTCTTTCTGCGTCACCCAAATTCAGTAAAATATATGTTTTAAAGCCGATTCATTTTAGCATGCAGCTGAACGTTAATTCAGATTAAATACAGCAAAAAGAAAGCTGCTGTTTGATAACTAAGGAAAATTTGTCTTCTGTATCTTATGAAGAATATTTATATCATAGAAGTCCTGTGGTGAACAAACATTGTCATGTGAACCAGCAGTTATACCATTTGTTTTACACACAATATATATTATGTATACCCAGTGACAAAAAAAAATTAAGCACCCAGAAGTAATGGTCCGATTTGGATGTAATTTGGTACACGTGCAGACCAGCGATGGGTATGGAAATGATTCGATTTGCAAGAAGCTGGCATGTCTAGTTAGCAGACACACAGAATGCCTCGTAGACGCATTAGACAGCACACCCAACACTTGATAGAGTTTGACAGGGGTCGCATTTTGGATTTGCATGAGGCCGGGTGGTCGTATTGTGCAATTGCCCGGCCTGGGGGGCATGCACATGTCACAGTCGCCCAATGTTGGAACCAACAGGCAGGTGAGGCCACCCACACACGTCGTGAAGGTTCCGGTCACCAAGACCACACCAAGGGAGGATCGCCGTATTTTGCGCCAAAGCATTACAGAACCCCATGCCATCCGTGTCTCGATGGCTGGCATCAGCCGGACTACGGGTTCACCGTCCCATGCATAGACTGGCATTAACACCAGCACAGAGTTGGCTGTGTTTTGACTGGTGCCGTAACTGGGAGGCATGGGCTGATGACACATGACGTCGTACCATGCTCAGCGATGAATCGCGGTTCTGCATTACCACGGATGACTGTCGTGTGCATGTATGGTGGCGCCGAGGGGAGAGGACCAATCCTGCCAATGGTGTGGAGAGACATAGGATGTGACTTCAGGTCATCTCAGGTAGTGATTCGGGGGACCCTGACGGCACAGCGCTACGTCAGTGACATCCTGCGTCTGCATGTCTTACCCCTCCTGAGACAGCACCCTGGTATAGTCTTTCAACTAGATAACGCCCGTCCACACACGACACGTGTCTATGGACTGCCTGCATCATGTTGCGGTCTTCCTGTGGCCAGCCAAGTCCCTCAATCTTTCCCTAATCAAACTTGTGTGGGATCAGCTCGGACGTCAACTCACACCCAGTGCCAATCTGCAGGATCTCGAGGGCCAGTTACAACAGCCGTGGGCCGACTTGCCGTAGAAGAGGTTACAACGGCTGTACGACTCCCTTCCACACCGTATCACCGCATGTATCCAGGCCCGGGGGGGTGCCACACCCTACTGACATGGGACCAGCGATGTGCCCATACTGCCAACTCTGTTGTTCGTTTGATCTGATATTGTAATCATTGAAATACAGTCACATGACCCTTTCACCACGTGCAAATTCATTTCATTTCCACCACTGTGTCTGGATGCTTAACTTTTTCGTCACTGAGTGTATATATATTTATATATATATATATATATATTTTCTTATGAAAAAAGGATTCGATTGAGGCAGACACAGCAGAGGTGCATGCCAATGAAAGGGTCACTCCCCCCAAATCGTGGGTATCTGCATATCCACAGTACGCAGAACATGTGCTCAGATCTCAGGTCCTGGCAGGCCGTGTGGTGATTACGAGGGGGAGGGGCTTTTACTCGTTGGCCTCCTTCTCTTTGCTGCCAGTTTCACACAGGCCCGTTTTCTGCATGACGTTGTAGGGGAAGGAGGCTGCGCTGCAAGCACCACTGTAGCCCAGCTTGGTGAGCCGAGAGAGGGCTTTGATGCTGCCCGGGGGCCTTCCGGGGCTCACCTTATAGCCTGCGGCCTTAGTGGTACCTAGGGGTCTTCCTGGACTCGTTTTAAACCCCGCCGCCTTGGTGGTGCCCAGCGGTCGCCCGGTGCTGGTCCTGTACCCAGCAGATTTCGTGGTCCCCGACGGCCGGCCTCTTCTGCCGGACCTCCCCTGCCCTTTCTTCCTCTTGGAGTCTTCGGGCTTCTCTCCGTTTTTGACCCCCAGGGCCTGTTGCTGCTGCTGTTGCTGGGGGAGAACCTCGCCCCGGATGTCCTGCCTCTGGCACGGCATGGATTTGAGGGCGTTCTGAGGCGGTGGGGGCAAGGGGGGCAGGGACATCTGCAGCGGCGGCTGTGGAGGGGGTGGGTAGAACTTGTTGGGCTGCGGGTTGCACAGGTCAAAGTGGCTGGCGGGGTGGCGTCCATCTTCGGCCAGGCAGGAGGGCCTGCCGCTCATGCAGTAGTCGTTGTTATTGGCAACCTGGTGCATCATCTTCTGCTGAAGGATGCAAAACATTACTAAGAAACAAAACAATGTCGCATGTTTCATTCTGCGGGACTAAACGTAAGGTGGAGAGTGACAGAGTCACAGACGGTCATACAATATACTGTATGCAAGTAAGAACAATCTAACAATTTGTTCTCTGGTATAAAGGTATGAATAAAGGTGTGTTTACCTTACCTAAGCAATAAATACCTACACCCATACCAATTCACCTTAGCTTGTTTGCATTGTAATGCCTTTATATACATGATAAATAACTAGAGTAAACATCCCTAGCAACCAGTAGAATATTACCTGCATTTAAATGATTTCACCAGTTTTACCACTAAATGATGAGGTTCTGCTAGAATATTACTTACTGAAGAGCGATGTGAAGATTAACATTTTGGTCCATGAAGATTTTTTTTAATCACATTCATATTTCTCATAGTATTTTTAATTATCATTGTCTTCGAACATGAATAAACTGGGGGAACTGGGTAGTCGAATTAGTACCACGTAATAATATTAATATATTGGGGGGGGTACATTCAATATATTTTATAAATAGTATTTTAAAATATCAGTTAATAAACAGTAAAAACAAAACGACATTAAACAAAGGTGAGGCAGTCCCTAGTGGATCGATTAAGCTATACATCGATTTTAAACATGGTGTAGACCTCTAGCTTTCTTACCGGGGCAGTGAAAGGTAAGTACGTTCAGACCAAGAACTTTTGCAGTGATGGTGAAAGTTAAAATAAATCAACGGAAATTGCTGCTACTGCCATCGTTAAATGCCCAACGTGCAATGCATGCCAAACCAGTTTTCGTAAATACATATAAAGGAGTGGTAAGCTAGCTAAGGGGTATTACTGTAGACGGATAGCTAGCCAGCTAGCTGGTGTGTTTTCTGTCTAAATCACGAATAAAAAAACGGATATTCGACCCCCTGCGTTCAGTATGTTTTTTTCGTTTCAATATCGTCGCTGCACCCCCGATTTTGATAGACTTCTTATTCAAAATAATTGTCTGCTTATAAACATAGCGACTGTAAAATGAACAAATGGGGTCTTTGTTTTTGGGATATGTAGAAAACAGACGCATTAATCTCGCACATGGAAAGCGTTCATATAAGCAACAATAGCTCTTCCACAATCATATCGATTATAGTCGACGCAAGCCAGATACAGGTCATTAAAAACAGCGAATTACTGTACCTCGATTTGTCTGCAGATCACGGAATGTGAACGGTTAACTGCAAAAATGACAGATTTCCCATCCATCAGATCCTAAAGTGGTCTCATTTTTTCAGGTGGATCGCAAGCCATAGATGACTTATGGTTGGTTCTGTGTATCTTAAGAAAAACAAGGAGTAAAAAAAAGCGTAGACGCTGAATGATGTCGGGGTGTCTTATTATTTTTTCCTGTTGCTGAGAGGTTTAGATGAGAAAGGCAGCCATTTCCATTAAACATTAATCGGACAGGCGGCGCCAGTGCGCAGGCGCATTCACCCCGCCAGGGCTTGGGGCGACGCCAGAACGAGACTGGCAGCTGGAAGCGGCCGTTAAAATGGCACCGATCGGCGCTCGCTGGGCGCCCGGTTTTTGGGTGTCGTTCAGATTAATGTCGTTCAATTTAAATCGAGTTTTAATATTGAGACATTTCTCAGCTTTCCGTCTATAAGAAAAAAAAAATATTATGCCGCAGTATTTCCCTTAAGATTAAGAAAACCACAAATGTCCCTCGAAGCTCGTGAAGTCAACGTACAGACGGCGCTGTCGGGGCCCGATTTAGAAATGTTTGAGAGTGTTTTATCGATTAAACCGCTGTCGACTGTCATACGCGTTAAAATATTTAGTGGCACAAGAAATCAGATGTGGTCAGCCTTCACCCATGTCCCTTGTGCGCTTTGTGAACCACGGCGTTGATGAAAAGTTTTTAATTATTTGCATAAATCGCAGTTTCTAACGACTATGTTGTTAGTCTTCTTCAGGTTGTTGTGACTATCCACCTTAGAAAAAAAACTAAATATGTTATTCCAGCCATCAGATACACCAAAAACTTATTTAGCAGAATAATATAAAAATTTACAAATAAAAATGTAAACAAATCTTTAATTTCACTGGGGTGGACATTTTTTATTACTGGAAACAGCATAAAAACAGTACACCATTCATAGGATGATCCTCTTTTGTTTTAAGACAAAACAGGGAAGAGTTTTACAGTTTTTTTTGTAAATGACACTGGGACCACTATATCTAAATCAGTCTGGGTATTCTTTAGAAATCAATAAAAATAAAATCTAACAAATCTTACAAACAGATCAGAGATGTAGCTATGCAAAAGGCCCCTTTAAAAAAAAACTGAAAAACCCACCAGTAAGTCTAAATGGCAAACTATGCTTGTGTTGGTGTACTTGGTTATAGGAATCCAACTGCTGATATTCTGTACATATCTGATACCTCTGTCAAGACTTTTATCATCTATTAACAAAGATGAAAGAGGAGAAAAGAGGGTTTGGTAGAGAATCAAGTGGGAACAATCAATACACCTGATGTGAATGTAAAAAGAGGTTGCTCAACCAAAAAAACAACTGTGTAGAAGCACTGTAATATTAAAAAATAATCTAAAACATACTCAGAAATAACTTTGGAGCCAATGCAAGACAAACAGCAGCCACAATTGCCCATATCTTCTGCTCTGATACTCTCGCTACAAGACCTTGTATCTTCCTTTGCTGGTTGGCTGGTAGGAGTTTTGCTGAAATTAACAAAAATAAACATTAATGGGGAAACGGGGGCAGTCAAACAGTTTCTTTAAGTCGGATTAGAATGTATTTTGTTTAGATATTATTTTGGTGTCGTAAGACTTACCAATCGGATGAGCTCCTCTTTAATAAGTCTGGTGATTTCCGCCTTTGCCTTCTGTACAGCCAGTTCATTGGCACCTAACAAGGCAGAACATTTTAGGCACAAAGTTATGTTGAAAACATGGACATAAAGGTGTTGTAACACTGACCAGAATATTCAAAAATCTGTGACTAGCAGTAAACATCTTTAAGGGACTCACTCTCGATGGCCAGGTAGATCTTGCGTTCTCCCTCCTTAGGTTCTTTGCCAGGTGGGAAGTAGGTTCCTCTGATGGTAATGGCTGCCTCTGAATACTCGCCAATCCTCTGCAGGGCCTCTTTGGAGGTGACCTTCCACCGGGCCGTCTGCACAAGAAACCAGACACCACATGGGCTCAACCCCTTATTCAAAAAGGACCAGTGAACAAAGAAATGTTATGAGGGACTTCTTTCCTGTAGTAGACTAAGCATACCATTCAGACATGTAGCTTGAGAACTGCTCCAAAGGATAAAACCATGCAATTTAGATGACAAGAGGCCAAGCAAATTTTGGAAGGAAAGTGATCGAGGAAGAACTTGACCTGATATTCTACAGAGGTTGAGCACAAGCTGGTCGACAGCGTCGCTGTTGGTCAGCTGAGGTAACTTTTAAGCAGAGCGCCTCACCTGTGGAAAGTCATTGATCTCCAGCTCTTCTTCATATCGTTTGATGGTTTCTGTCTGTTCGGCAATCTGCCTTTCCTCCTCCATCTTCTCCACTGGAATGTAGTTGAGCTTAGCATTGATCTTCTCTGCCAGCTGCTCGGCGATAGTTTTAGCCGAAACGGAGGGAGCCATGATGGTCCCTCCACGAAGAATGGCATTGGTAGCCTGCTGCATCACATCCTGCCAGGAACACACACACACATCAGTATGATCATCCAGCCACTGCATCTACACAGGAACTAGACATGTTTGATAGCCTTTGTACCACAATATGGAGTCACCTGAGCTTCAGCGCCCAAGTTCTTTTGAGCATTGATCTTGATCGCCAGCTTCTTAGCAAGCTCCAGCTTCTGGATGTTTCCTGCAGATGGCATGGCAATTCCAGCCAGAAGGCCTGCCGCGGCTGTTGCGCCAGCTGTACCCCCGGCACCACCTCCGCCACCCCCTCCTGGAGCGGACAGGTCCTTCACGCGCTTCTTGGAGTTGAACATGCTTTCAATCTGCTCGTCAATCTGCAACAAAAAATAAACTCGCGGTAATACACAAGAGATGGCTAAGTGCATGTAACTATGAACCCTTAAAGAATTTTTCAGTCTTTAGCAACTGCACCAGAACCATAAGCCTGATAAGATGCCAAAGGCCTTACATCCAGAGCTGTGTCTTCATCGTCAGAGTCTTGCAGACCCAGAGCAGCTTTCTGCAACTTCTTTCTCTCGTTGGCTAGGGCATGCTCCGTTTCGTCGAATTTGAACCCCTTCCCGGAGAATCCGCTGCTGCTTTTGATGCTCTTGCCCTCCTAAGGACAATCGCGGAGGAAGGGTGTCAGATTGCTTGATGTAAGACAGCAAATTGAAAGCATGCTTGAGAACTGATCTGGAATAATGGCAAGTGTCTTTGTTGATTCACACTGCAAAGGAAAAGGGTGGTTGGGGCATTCGGTGAAGTTAGAATGTAGCCCATAAAGACGAAGGGGTTAAACGGAACAAAGAGCTGAATAAATAGTCTAATTCATGCTAAATCAAGACCCAAATGAAGCACAAATCCATCCATTTCAGTGTTTTGAGCGTCATCCTCTTACGGCTTTCTGCTGATCTCTGAAGTTCAACCACAGCTGTTCCAGATCAGGGGGCACAGTGGATCCAGAGAGCTCCAGAGCTTTAATGATGTCCCCAGCGTACCGGACCTGCTCCTCTGTGATGAACGTGTATGCGTAGCCCTGAACAGAATACAATAATCTTCATCACTCACCTTCATTTTTACTGAAAGTTCGGTGCTCTGATCCGAGACACAAAGGAACATGGGAATGCAAGATACATCATGCAGCATGGATAGCAGGCCAGTCCTCCCAGGCTATAGTCCTGTACAACTTATAGTTGAAAACAACAAGTACATACTCTATCTTTTGTCTATAAAGACCCGTGACTGATTATAGGTCACTTAGTACTAAGACATCAAAAGGAGTCTAAATGACCAAAACCTGTGGCCATCGTGGTCTGACACACCAGGACCCTGATCTAGAACCCCAGGCACCACACTCACTTTGTTCCCTGCTCTACCAGTCCGCCCAGCTCGGTGTACATAGTCCTCGTAGTGGTTAGGGCAGTTGTAGTTGATCACCAAGATAAGCTGCTTGACATCCAGGCCTCGGGCCGCCACAGACGTGGCCACCATCAGCCGGCATGCCCCGTTTTTGAAGTCATTGATGATACTGTCCCTGTCATACTGGTCGATTCCTGAGAAATGAAGCGAGAGTCGGCATCATTACATTACACACCATTTTCTCTTTTACGCCAATTTCCACCGTAGCCTTTGGCAAAATAATAGAATCTACCAAGCGGAAAAGAAAAAATTAAAAAGAAAAAAAATCACCAAGCTATGGCTTAGCGGTCAGCAGCATAGTGGATTACGAGCTGGATTTCTGTTAAGCAATTAGCTCGGAATTAATAACAATGGCAGAGCTGTATTTCCACAATATACTAGTGGATTATTAGCGGCTTTGGATTAAAAGGGTCAACTAATTAAAATACAGTTGCTAGAGCCTGTGGATCACACCACTGGGATGAAATAACAGAGTGACCTAACCTCCATGGAGAGACATGCAGGGGTATGAGGCCTTCATCAGGTCTTTGAGCAGAGCATCTGCATGCTCCTGCTTGTCCACAAAGATGATGACTGAGCCCTTCTCTTGGTAGTGGCCAAGGATCTCTAGCAGCTTCAGAAACTTGTTCTCCTCCTCAATCACAATCTAGGTAAGGCAGGACATACACTTAGGAAAACTTCAAACATTCAAGACTCACTTTCAAAATCACTGGCGTGAAGAAACCACCACAGCCCAACAAATATTGCACGTTCCTACACTGGACAGTACCAGTGTTCCCCCGGAAACCTTACCACATGCTGTTCAACGTCGGAGCACACGACACTGCGGCCCCCGACTTGCACCTCGACGGGTTTGGACAGGATCCTACGAGCGAGAGCCTCCATAGCTCGGGGGAACGTGGCGGAGAACATGACAGTCTGCCTGTCGGGCCGGATGTTATCAACGATGCGCATCACCTGGAAACGATGGAGACACCCTGTCAAACGTGTGCTCCGGGAAGGTAATTCACATGGCAAAAGTGCCTTTGATGAAAACATTCAGCTTTTTAGAGTTACGGTACCTAAACGACTGGTGCACATGAAGGCTCTCATGAACGTAAGGTCTGCTGTCTTCTGTTAGCTGTTCCATTGAACTAGCTAACATACATTTGGTAGTAAAAATTTGGCACTTTCTTCTTTCCATTGATTCCCGGTTAGGTACCAGTACCAAAAGTACCAAATCAGCTGGGATTTTTTGGTACTTTGGAGTGGGAACAATGGAATTACAGACAAATGAAGAGTCCCAAGCTTTTATTGTGGTTTGGTCAGAATAACAGATTGAAGAAGATG